CTTATTGTTTTGTCAGATTCGATTCCACCAAAGGTCTGCAGCTTTTTAGAACAGCAGCTGTCTAAGTTGTGTTGTGCTTTCTGGTGTTGAGGTGAATGGAGCATTGGGCCTTCCCTGCCATTGAGAGTGCCAGGCTAACGGAGCCTACCTAACAGATTATCAGCGCCCTGTGAGTAATAGACTCCTCATTTAGTTTTAATACATTTTGCATAGAGAGCAATCAACCTTCATCAGTCTTAAAGATAAATTGGCTTAGCCAGCTAAATTTTAAAGATATTAGTCCAACAGCAGTCGCATAAATCATAACGTTTTCTTAATGATGGTAAAATTAAAATATACTCTTGCTTGAAGAAGCCAATGGAGCTTTAATATTCACAGGCCAAATCCTCCCCCAAAATTAAAGGGAAGCTTAATTGATGTTTTCTAAAGCCAAGTCAAACAGTACCACTTCTTCTCAGTTGTCCCTATATATCTTCTGTGTTCTATTAGTATGTATAAATCCATCCAGACCACTTCTATTCCTTGCTAGCATGAAGACAATATGCCAGTGTCTTTCTTGGGCTGTCAGTCTTCCATTTGATTGCCTAGATAAAGGAAATCATTTACCATTGACAAAGCTCCAGTTGGCATGTGAAAGACATCTTTCCTGTGTCTCTCCCACTCTCTTAGTGACTTTGATACACCAATGCTCTGAACTCCTGCTTGATCCAGAGAGCTACATAATGAAACTGGGCCCTAGAGCTGGAAGCAAAAGATTAAGACAAATGGAGGTGCCTCAGTACAGGGCAAGGCTTTTAAACAGGATATGAAGGAAGATGAAATAATGTTTTTATGAGGACATGGTATTCTCTTAAAAGAATACTAGTGTTTCCATATTTAAGTGGTTAAGAATAATATAATATAAAGTAACACAAAGTGAAGCTTTCATATTGCATTGTTGACTTTTGCTGTCAACAATCTGTCACTTAGTTTAGAGAAGTTTGGAGAATCTCACAAAGTTCGAGGTACTGCTACAAGTGAGCCTATGCCTGGCAGAAAATGCAGATATAGAGAAATAGAGACTGATGGACACAAGAGAGAAAAGCATACATACCAGGAAGATATAATTTCCTACTGCCAAAAGTTTGGCTAGAAAGTGGCAAGCCTGAATTTAAGAGTGTAGATCTTAAATCTATATAAATTCTTTGTTGGCAACCAACAGAAATAAACATTTCACTCTGCTGCTGGAGCTGATCATGTGTTTGAGCTACACATATCTGTGCTGCATCTTTCCCCATAATAGATTAATGGATCCCCCTATTTTAGCATTCTGCTTCTATGCCTCATCTCCTATGAGGGCAGGACAAGAGTAAACCCATTGGTTTCTCCCTCCCACCTCCCAGGTTCCCATTTCTGCTTGTATTTTTTAGTTGGAAAAAATCATCTGTAATAGGCCCTTCTCAATATGTGGGTTTGGAATTCTGGAAAATCAAAACTGTAATTGTATAGGGAGCTTCTTTAAGTAAAGGCAGTATGCTGCAGCAGCCATGATCATTTCCCCCTGTGAGGTTCAGAGTGGAGCCCATGGGCTTGGCCTTATTCTTGGCCTTATATGATAGTAATTGTGTGCATGTGTGGGCCCACATAGAACTTAGGAGGATTCCACACTCTCTTTTTCTTCTCAGTATGATCTAACTATTATATGCTGGTCCATTCATCTGAAACCTATGCAATGTGGGGATAGTAGAGCCTTTGTGTTATGTTCCAAGAATATCTATGAAAGATGCTATTGTGAATCAATTCTAAAATACCTCACTGAATAGAGGTTGAAATAAGCTGAAAAGTTTTTCAGATTCTTTCTCCCCAAAATTTGAGGTGTAATGGGGTGGGAATATGGCAGGGCTATCTCTGACCTGATGCTGGGTACTATTTGAGTGCATGCAAAACTCAAATCGCTGCACTAATATAAGAATGAAGCAAAAGACTGAAGCCTCCTAGAATGCAGAGTACAACCAGGACTGCCTGTTATAATATAGCCAGCACAATGGTAAAATAAATAGTACAATAAAATATGTATTAAAGTCTCAGTTTCTCTTGCATCATAAGGACAAGTGAAGTCCTCCATATATTATTATATCTGCCTTCTTAGATTGCTGATGGCACAGTATTAAGGTGAGCTAATACAGGCCCTATGCTGCCTTAGACTAATTAAATAGGTTAGGTATTTGCCTGGTTGGAAAAGAATCAGAACTCCACAGGGATAGGTGATACCTTTTAGTTTAGCTAAATTTGGTTGATGATTTTACTCAAATGTTGTTTTTTTGTCTAATGCTTTGTTTAGCCTTTTCAAATCTCAGAGATAATAAAGCGTTGGATGAAAATCTGTATGAAACCAATTTAGATGTTACATTTCTATGCCACATAGACTGTTATTTAGCAAGGTGAGAATGATGAACCCACTGGAATAAGTTTAGTTTAAGCCAGTAGTTAATCAACAAAAGTCCAAGCTCTGGATTCAACCCCAGTGCTGCTTCCAGTTGTGATGCTGAATTAGGCACACATGAAGCTACTGAAAACAGAGGCTGGAGGAATTTTGATTAGACCCCTTCCAGCTTAAAACTATGGTAAGAACAGACCTGACAGCTGCACAGCAATTGGGCTGGAGTTTTATGGTTTTGATGACTGCTGAGATATAATGTCCACCTTTAGTTAGGAAAAATGTGAATGTAGCTGATGCATTACAGTGGGCATTGTCAACCGTTCTTGTGCCCTCCATAAACCTGTTACAAAGAACATAATTCCTTGCAAATATTTGTAACTGGATCTATAACTTTCATGTCTATTTGTCATGTTTGATTTGAAAGCCTTTTAGCAAAAACCTTTACTTCGGTCTTGTTATAATTAATGGGCAGAAATTCCTGCCTGCAGTACATAACTAAAGCTGGGATTGCTCTTTTCATTGTTATAAAGGTTTGGAATCCTCCTCCTCCTCCTCCTCCTCCTCCTCCTCCTCTTTGCTGCCCACTCTGAAATTGAAATTTGAAGTTGAAATGTATCTGCTGGCTAGTTTGGGGAAATGAAATTCCAAAGTATCAAAGCCTGCAACTGATGAATAAATTAAATTATGATGGAGTTAGAACACATCCAGATTACACTATTCTGCTAGTCTGTATGACATCAGGTAGCAGTTTCTGAAGATTGCATCTGATCATAGGAGAAGTGTTACTATAAAGCTGGTTGAAAAGCAGAAGTAATTGTGGGTTAATGGAGAAGATACCAAGCTTCATGCAGAGCATCTCCCTAGAGATGCAGTCAAAGGCTAATTTAAAATCTGTATATACTACCTATAGGGCCAACTTGGGTGAGCCTGTGGATTTTTATGATAGTAATAGTACTAAGTCCTGATTCCAGGTAGACTGAATCCAGCCAGCTTTTCTTTCAAGACTTTGTTGGCATCTTAACCAGTCCAGTAGCTTTCATAAGAAATACAGTGGTACCTCGGGTCACAAATTTAATTCATTCTGTGACTCTGGTCGCGACCCAAATTGGTCGTGACCCGAATCAAATTTTCCCATAAGGTTCAATGTAAATAAGGTTAATCCATTCTGAACCATATGTATTTTTTTTTAAACCACAAAAATATGACACAAAGTACAGTACAGTACAGTATGAAGAGACAGAACACTAACCTTGCTTGAGGAGTGGAGGACAGGAAGGCGGGTGGGGGGGCGGTTATTGTTTGGAGGGAGAGTCCCCCTCCCTACAGGAAGCCACGACCACATGTGTCAGCAGGTAAAATGGCCGCAGATCCTGTTCGTCACCCAATGTGGAGTTCGCGAATGGAAGCAAAATTTTGCGAACGGTGCTGTTCGTGACCCAAATTGGTCGTGAATGCATTCGTGACCTGAGGTACCACTGTACATAGTATACAGTTTGCTGATAGTACTCAACAGACTGATTGCCTAATACTTGCTTGGATCAACATCCACACTTCTTTATCTATCGATCTATCGATCTATCTATATTAGTGTGATAGGTGCTAGGCTATAGTTCACAGAATATGGGCTATATGATTGGTACAAATGTAGAACTACTGGAGCCCACTAATCAACTTTAGATTTTATTAAATCATATGGTACAAGACTTGCTTCCAGAGCCTTCCCAGATTTTAATTGAGCTATAAGATTATTAACTTCCAAAGGAATAACTATGCCACTTTGGGAGATAGTCTCATTTGGGTAAAAAGAGAGAGTAGTGATTAACGTCTAAAAATAAACCATCTTGAAATGAGCCATCCAGTCATCTGCAATTGCTTTTATACTTATATCCTTATCTTCAGCAGTTTTTCTGAGCCCCTGCCCATGGAGTTGTAGCAAGAGGGTCCTGCAAAGTATGATCTCATGCCAAGCTTAGGTTTCCAACCCCTACCTAATGCCCTCTTTGGCTCTAACGTGAATGTATGTTCACACTTCTGTGAATTGAGTAAGAGTGTGCATGCTTTGTGACTCTTTGCATCTTTTGTTAGAAAACTGGCTCTGTAAATGAATCCCATGGCTCTGGGCTCAGCAGGTAAAGGAAGAAGGAAGTCTGTTAGTGCGTGAGTCTAATCAGGCTGGCAAGAGCAAGTAAAGTAGGGCAGCATCACACATTAGCTACTGTGTAATTGAGCTCTTTGATGGGCAGGGCACTGCAGGAGAGGGTGCGAAGCGGAGCAGAACTTTTGTTGTTAATTCAGTCACCCATGGAAGCTGTAAAGCTGTACATCTCTGCATCTCGGTGCCTAGAGAACTGAAAAGCCCTTGCAAGCAGCCTTTTCAGTCCCTGCCCTTGGCCCTAGTCTGCAAACTTTCAGGCCTTCTCTCTGCCTCCGGTTCTCAGCACTTGATTTCCCTTTTCTCTCTTTCTTTGGTTCGCTTTCTTCCCCGTGCGCTATAAAAAGCAAAGCTCCCATGCCGTTTGAACTAGGCGGCTGTGAGTGAGGGCTAGCTCAGAGCTGTGTGGCTGTTACCTTTATATTCCAGATGAAACTGCCAAGCTCCGTGGGACAGAAGAAGATTAAAGCCTTGGAGCAGATGTTGATGGAACTCGGAGTAGGTGAGTAAAGAGGGCAGGGAGAGGGAGAGAGAGAGACCCATGGAGCAGTGCCTTTGTAGTCAAGATGGGCTATTTTTCCCCCTAGTAATACAGACAGTTCCTTCAATAACACTATGTGAATGGGTTTGAAAATAATACGTATTTTGTTTAAGGAAAAAAAAGAAGGGGTAAAAACCAAAAGATGATGCACAGGATTTTAAAAAATACCTTTCCAGTAGAAAACTGTTTGAATGCAGTCTTTGTCTCTTTCTCTCTTGTTTGGGTTCTTTAAGGCATCAGAAGTAATAGAATAGTATTAAGGAGGTAAATCTCTTCATGTAGGGAGAAGTACTTAGGAAGGAGTTAGTGACCATTGTCCAGAAGACTCTGACCCCTTTTTGGTAACTTGCAGCTATTCTTTTGGGCAGATCCTACATGACCAGCATGAGGATCTATCTGGAATGTTGTGAATTCCTCCAAAGCACAAGTGACTGCCTCATGTCAAGGCTGGATCTGGATTTTGCTATCTTATGTCCAGAGAATAGCAAACTCCTTGATTCATGGAGCCTGGCAACCCTTAGCTCTAGCAGCTAACTTGAATAATGAACTATCTGGTTGTTCAATTAGTGCCTTCCCTGCAAGACAGGCTGGCATCTAAACCCTCCTCTCATACCGTTCAGGCCGTGGCAGGAATCTGCAGGCAAATTCCTTCTATGTCCAATGGCCTGGGCAATAGAGGAACAGTTTGAGTTTACTGCTCTATATGACTTAGAATGAAGCAAGATTACAGCAACCCCACAGGTGACACAAGCAGGTTCTGGGTCTCCCTCACTTAGTTTTCTTCTCTTGCTTTCTCCAGATTTGAACCCGATGCCAACAGAAGAAATTGTTCAGATGTTCAACGAATTGCGCAGTGATCTTGTACTACTATATGAGCTCAAGCAAGCTTTTGCAAACTGTGAATATGAGTTGCAGATGTTGCGCCATCGCTATGAGGCACTAGCCAAAGCGGGTAGCACAGGACCTAACACAGATGGTGGCTCCCATCCTGATGGACAATCAGGCTTGTGCACAGAAGAGGGCAAGGGTGACAGCAAGGAGCAGATCATTGATGTGGTGGGAGCACCCCTCACACCCAATTCAGTGAGTATTAGGATATGTTTTGTTATTGCCTGGTATTTAGCATCTGAAGATACAATCTTTGGGGAGCCATTTGGAATAACAGAATGCCTGGGCCTTTGGGAAAGAACCTTATTCCCGCTCTCAGGCTATATACCCAAGAACTGCTTGCTTGCCAGTAAGCAAGAAGGGAGCAATTTGACATGCAGTCATGAATCCCTAGAACAAAGTCCACCTGATGGGGTGAGGTCAGCATGGAGAGACATGGGCATTTTCTCAAGGACAGACTTCCAGGATGCAATATGCAATGTAGCCTGTTGCCTCAAAATGGGCCTGGTACTCCAAATCCCCCTGCCCAAATTAAATCATCACCCTACTCTTTAAACTGACATTTTACTAAATCTCAGACTGCTACATTCAAATTCTAAGATACAAACTTTGTTGTAATTGAGTTAGTGAGTTATTAGTAACATTTGCTTAACATTGTTGTGATCAGGCTATTAGTCAGCTGGCCATCACTCCCTTCTTGCTCATTGTACTGCAGCTATCCAGTGCATTGGCATAATGGCATGTCACAGTCTTTACAAAATTGGCTTTAAAATTTTTTTTTTCCCCTTTAAGAATCTTTCTCTTTCAGCATTAGAGATTAAATTGGAATTTTATGTAGCAACTCATTTTTTTGAGCAGGATTGAAGTCTCTCTGGAGAATGGTCTAGACCACATTGCTGAGTACCGGTACCCTGCCATTCTTGGGGAACTCAAAATCTCATTCATGTCTGGGTTTCAGCCAACCTCATAATCAGTTATTATCCAGTACTGAGCCATTTTTCTATATAGTAATTTTCCATTACAAAATGTTGAACTCTTGCACTGCACTGTATTCTTCCCATCTTGGACTTGGAATAGGAACAGAGAGAATGAAGACAGCACCAAGAGGGTTAACATGATCTGGACTCTGATATATTTGAAAGAAATATAATCAAGTTAATTCACTGCAAGGCAAGTTTGGTACCTAAAGGGCCCCCCTGTTAAATACAGCTCTGACCTTTACCAGCTGGTTACACAAAGACGACACAATTAGATTAGTTCAAGACAAAAGGTCAAGCGCATTCACACTGTGACCACTTTATGCTGTCTTTGGAGAGGAAAGAAATTCCACTCAACAGGAGGGGGCTGCTCAGGAAGGTTCATTGTTGCCAGGATAGAGGGGAGGGGCATACATTGGTTGGAGGGTGGAGAGGAATTTTCCTTTATAAATTTGGGAAGAGGAATACTGCATGGAATGTCCATTCTACTACCTTGGTAGCATGTTGCAGAAACTTACCATATTGCACATACCTCTTGGTCTTTGCACTAGGTAAGCACCGTAAGATACTGAATGGCAATTGTTTGGACTACTTATTTCTGTAAGATTGGTACCTAGGCTGAAGGTCATGCTGAGGAGATGGCCAGTGTCATACTATTGGAATCAGCTGTTCTTTTCCTTGTAGAGAGAATATGTATTCATTGGTGTTGGTGAAGGTGACTACAGGTGGTCCTCATTTAAGCCACTCATTTGGTGACTGAACTTACAATGGCACTGAATGAATGGTAGTTACAACCGGACCTTGTACTTATGGCCATCGCAGCATCCTGCAGTCATGTGATTGCCATTTGTGATCTTCCCTGCTGGCTTCTCACAAGCAAAGTCAATGGGGAAGCCAGCAGGAAGTCGGACGTTGCGGTTGTGTGAGGTCCTCACTTAATGACCCATGTGGTCGCTTAATGATGGCAGCTGAGACTTCTGGAACTGCCGTTGCTAAGCAGCAGAGTCACATGGTTTTTCGACTTACGACCATGTCACTTAACGATGGAGTTTCTGGTCCCAGTTAGTGTCATTAAATGAGGACTACCCATATAGTGATGTGAGAGTATAATTCCACAGGATTTGAGTGAATAAGTAGCTATTTGGCTGAAAATAGATCCCCATGAGCAAATTTTCTGCCATGTTTAAACATGGGAGCCAGCTGGTTATGGCTAGAGTATGATGGATATGGAAATAGGTTCTTAACCTGGTTAAGTTGTGAGACTATGGAGTGAATTTGAGTAGTAGAAATATATAAAGTATAGCTCACATTGCCAAATGTTCTTTGACAGATGATGGGTATGAACTATAAGACTTTTACATTTACCTATGGCATGTGTGGGATTCCAGATGTTTAGCTGTGCGCCTTCTGAGCAAAACACAGCAAAGTCCTTCTTTTATCAAAGATATTTATTGCTACATAAATCTATGGATTACAGTCTAATTCATCAGATGCATGGAGTAAAGACATCCTGGTTCAGATAATATTTGAAGCAGGCATTAGAATTTATCCTGATTATATTCTCTAGGAGTTCTGGATTATATCTTCTCTTGCTTTCTTACTCCTCACTTGACAATACTTCTCTTCTAACCTAAAACTTTAAAAAGAAATAGTTCCTGACCAGTTGGTTGCATACATTCTCAGATTAGGCCACATGTGGTTGCTGTATCACTAGGCAGCAATTTGGGCCAGATGGAGGGCGACTTTTGTGAGGGTGACTTTTCCCTCCCCACAGCTATTCAGATATTTCAATTGGGAGCTAGTTCTATGGCAAAGGAAATGGTTTACAGTTCGCTGATAACACTGTTGAACATTTAACATATGATACAGTCGCTAAATATCTTGTTTCTTCAGATTAAAAAAAACCACCTGAATAGGCTTAGCTTCTAGCAGTCATCTTTTTCTAGCTCAACCCAGTGCACTCCAATTTCTGTAAAAATCACTTGGGGGTCCTTTAAATATTGTGAGGTCCACTATTGGTGGTTCCCAGTGAAGGTCATTTTCTCCCCCTCCTCTGGCTGACCCAGGAAGGATGTTGCTCTGGGCCTTGAGGGGGCCAAAGGTGAGTATAACTTGGAACAAATTAGTTCCAAGCAGAAGTGCAACCAGTTACTCCAGATTAGAGCCTTTGATTTGCACAACTCAGACTCCACTTGCCCATCCATAATGAGTTGACTCTCCTCAGAATTCCTCACATCAGCACTCTTTGTTGCTAGGCTCACAAGTCAGCCTATTAATGGGGAAACGGAAGGACCTTGCTTCTAAGAAGTCTTGGGTTCAGAGTCAGAATCATTTGACTTTTAAGCTGCCTTTATCTGAACTCCTGCCGGCTCCTTGTTTTCTGAGCCTACTTGAAAGTGTGAAGTTATATTGTTAACATCAAAAATCTTTCCTTTAAGCATGGAGTTAGAAAAGCTCACTCATATGTCCCTATAAAATGTGTATCTCTGTCTGAGGTGGGGGGGTTGTATGTATTCTCATTTTAAAATAATTCCTTTCCATTAACAGTGAGGCAGGTTCCCAGATTCTTGTAAATTATAATGTAGAACATTTTTTTTTCTAACCGCTTTTCGTTTTTGCCCATAGCGACAGGGAAAGCCAAGCTATGGAAGGTGATTTATATGAATTTGTGACATATTTGAAAGATAGCTCTTTTGCCATATCAAGATTATCAAACACATGCACTCATCCCCATTAATTCAGCAGTCTCACTGAGCAGCTCTGAAGCTTCCATGCCTTTGTTTTCAGGTTGTGCTGGCTGTTTAAAGCGTATCTTTTGACCTCATTTCCCCAAATGCTAGCAGGTACCACATGAAAAACAAAATAATAGAAGGTTGCTTTGTTGTCCACCAGGAGCCTGCTATTCCAGAGAAGAGGATTAGTGCATCCCTAAGAAGTGGGAGAGGGTGGGCTTTATTTACTGAAGTTCTCAATCATTTATGCCTCAGACATTTAAAGCAAGCCTAGGTGGGAAATAAGGTGTGTGTTGCAAGAGACCTAATTGCAAATTTCTTCTCTTCTTGATCACAGCCACTGATTTTCTTTTAGAAAATGCTTTTCATTCATTAATTAACCCAAAGTTGCTGTATAATCCTTGGTCATATCTCTAAATTATTCTGTTTCTCCCCATTGGCCTCTTGATTTCAAGGTGTTGAGCAACTGAAATATTGTTATTATTTTAGGCACTTATTAGTCCAAATGGAATATCCTCAGCTCCTTGCTAAGGCAGTAGAAATGGAATTCCTATATCCTTTAGAAATGCCCTGTGATTTGCTTAAGGGGGAGGACATGGATCGACCAAGGAAATTATGCGTCAGGCAGACGTGTAGTGTCCCCTCTCTTCAGACAAGCTTATGTCATATGTTCTCTCAATTACCCAATGTACACAAGCCAGAAGTAACCATCTGTTTCATGCTATGGCTTTGGCTATCCAAATTCTATTTGTCCTTTGTTTTTCATTCTGTCACTGTAGTGATTTATAAGATCAACTGTCTCTTTTCTTGTGGATAGCCTCAAGTAAGCTTGTATTCCATCTGTTATGTTCTTTTAAGTACTAAGTCAGGATCTGCATGTGGGGCTTTCTCCTGCACTTCCTGCCTGGATATACCCGTCACTTTTTGTTTCGCAAGGTTTCTTAGAAAGAGGGGTTTTTTTTATTGAATCTGAGATTTCTTTCCCTCTGGAACTGACTCCTGTTCACACATCTCTTTTTGCTTCTTGTTGGAACAGAGAAAGCGCAGGGAATCTGCTTCCAGTTCCTCATCTGTCAAAAAGGTGAAGAAGCCATGAGCAGCATGATGGCCCAAGTCCTGGATTTTGGAGGACCAAGTTACTGACTGCAGGTGCAAGAAGGATCTGTCTCCACATACTGTAGTAGGGACCATTGTGTTGAAGGATTTTGTCTGTCTTTGCTTATGCCATGAAAAAGGGTATTACTGCCCTGGTAAAGAAGAGGCTGAGCTCATAATCCTGAATTGATTGTTGCTGTGATTTTATTGTATATTTTTCCTATATCTGAGTTTTGTAAACTTTGATGTAAATATAGAACCCATAATCTCTTGTTCCAGAATCTAAATCAGTAGTCAATAAGAGGGAAGGGCAGGAGGACAGACCCCTGTCAGCAGGAGTTGGGGCTGCATCTTGTGCTGGAATGGGCATGGGCTGGGTAATGTATGTTATGGTAGGCATCCATCACATTACCAATGGAGAAGACTAATACCTGGTTGAGCACTAAATCTAACCTCCTCCCCCCATTCCCATAAAGTTGACATATGCTTCTTTGTGGCTTTGCAGACCATTTTACAGCATGCCCACAAACTAAATAGTTCCCCCAAAGTTTCATCTTGTTAGGGAAATCTTGCTTATTAATCTAGAATCACTGCACCTAAATTAGATGTTAAAGCAAAGAATTTTTCCCCTTTGACAGTTAGGTGAGGCAACTATACATTGTAGTAAGCATTATTTTCAGGGTCATTCTCTGCTGGACTGAAACAGATACTCCTTTTGCTATGATGGCGCCCGCTATATGTCAGATTAGTACTGTATTAGTATTAGTATTGTGTTAAGTACCGGTTCAGAAAATGTTGGTTCAGCCATTTCCAACTCATCCTCCAAGTAGGTTGGGATCTCCAGTCAGTATGAGATAAATGTTCTTAAAGGTCCTCACAGCATGATCCTTTCTATTTACTAAGAAGCAAATCCCTCTGTGTTCTGCACAGGTATTGAGGAATGCAGAGGTCTCTTTTTTTATTGCAGTGCTGTTGGTGGCCCAGTTTTTATTTGTGGCATCTAGAGGTGCTCCCTGGTGTGATAGTTGTGTCAGTGTCCTGTGAAGCAGCAAGCTAAATATATGCTGGTTTTTCAGGAACAAAAAACCATTATTATCCCATAGTTGGACATAGCTTCAGTTATAAGTGTTGGGAGGGTTAGGTAAGGTGAGACCTCCAAAGCCAGAAATGTATATAGAATAAGAATTCCAATGATCAGAGGGGTTCTTTGAAAAGCTACTTAGTCTTTTTTCTTAGTAGAATAAATTATACAAAATAAGAAAATATTTGTATTTATGCATAATGCATATAGATCACAGAATTCTAGTTTTGTTAGTATTTTTAGTGCAGAAAACACAGAACATATTCCAGGAAATTCTCTGGGAATGGAAGAACTCATGGTTGTGTGATTAGCTCTGCCTTGGCAATATGAAACTCAAATATTTAGTAATAAATCAACAAAATAGACTCTGGACTACACTGCCTGAAGAGCTAGCTTCAGCTTGCTGACTTTTTAATGGCTGGATGTCCCTGTTGCTACATAGAAAGCTGCTTCCTCCCCTCCCCTTTTGAATATTCATCTTCTTTCAGATACATGTCAGAAGAGGACTATGACACCCCTGGCCTGCAGCTGTCAGGCCTAACTCGTGTGCTTGCCTCCTTTTCCCCTCAAGTGCAACTGGGAATCAATAGTGCATGACAACGCCCTTTGATTTACATTCTTGCTGGCAGAAAGAAAGGTCAAAGGCCAAGTTCTTCGTTTTCATAGAAAACTAATTAGACGACTCCATCGACACTGAATCAATAAAACTGATCAGGTGATTACACAGAGGGAGCCATTAAAATCCCTGTGACCTTTGATCCTGAGTCCCTAACCTGAGAAGGAAGAGGCTTGGTTACATTCCCTAGTGCCTTGGAGGGCAGAACCTCCAAAGTAAAGATGGACTGGCCTGAAAGGGAGGAAACACAGACTGCCTGTCATGAGCATGTATGCCGCTGCTCCCTTGTATCTCCATTGGCCAAATCATCTACAGGAACAGTGTAGATCCAGTGCTGCCATAGGTGTATTGAAAAGCAGTTTAAACTAGATCAAGGGGGGAAAAAAGAGCACCGATTTTAAGCTGTCATTCAGTATGTTCTTCAAACACCTGGTGAAGTTTCCAGTCACCATTCTCCAAATCAGAGGAGGTGGTTCATAGATCTTAGGTCATGTAGCAATCAACAAATATTTGGCAATTATTCATTAGCCTTTGTTGTTTATGTTTGGCTACTTTAACAGTGAATCATTGTTTTTAAAAACCCTATAGTTCTTGCCTTAGCTGTACTAGATATTGTATATTTCTAAAAATAATGGAAAAGATGTGTTCTGTATATAAACAGTATCAATGACCAGTTGGTACCAGTATATATAACCCTATGCTAGTTTCTCTTGTATACCTAAGATAGGGAATTTGCTCTCCCATTTCTTGTGGTTCTAGAGATGATACATCACATGTACAAATTATCCCTGGCTATGCAATGAGATAGAGATGAGATGTAAATATTTGCCAGTTCAAGATTCTCATTCTACACAAAGGCCCTTTAATAATTTTATGCAATTTTTTTTTTACTAGTGCCTGATAGCTTGGCTTCATCCTAGGCTCTAGTCTCTTCCCACTACCTATCGACATTCCCCTTCTTCAAGAGCACAAGGTCTGGAATTTTGAAAGGAGAAGTCTGCTTGCAGGAATATGACTATTAAAAGAGACGTAATCCCTTTTCTCATAGCCTCCCCTATTGAAGAACTAAGGAAATAGATACTAATCCCCAAAGGCTAAATACTTGTAAACTACACCTGGAAATGTTCAGTGTTATAAAAAGGGGATTCCAGAAAGCAAATATATTTGAGAATGGAGCAAATATCTATGCAGAAACGGCCAGTGTTTTTGTATTTAAAGAGGCTTTAGAAAAAGGAGGCAATACACCCAGTAAGAGATTGCTGGCAAGGCCACACCCATACCTTTGCAGCACATAAGAAGCCAAGTTCCTTTCCCCCAAACTTTATTCATGTGGCACATTTACAGCAAGGATGGGAGTAACGAGCCAATGAAGAGGTCAGGTTGGGTTCAGCTGGAACATCCACACACCATGCATTATTACTGGGAAGGCCCAGTGCCTGTATCAGCTCACTGCTGCAAGGGCAGAGCCCTCTTGGTGTGGCTCCCAAGTTGAGGGCAGCTGG